ATAAAGTTTAACCAAGAATTCTATAATTAATACTAAATATAATTTATAATCACATGAGCCTAAAATATCTAAAGTAATATACAGTATATTCATTGTCACATTACACTTCAAATTCATGAGCACATTATATCTAATCAACAAATACTCTTTGTTAAATAATTGCATGTGTGCTAATTAAAATTATTTTTGTAAAGTATTGAATGTTAGCTAACTAGTTCACCAAAATTTGCATAATACATGGGAATATATCAGAATTATTGTACATTTGAGAACAATTAAATAAGTATTGTTTTTTAATTACAGTAATTCTCAGGAATAGTTATCAAAACACATTTGATTTAGGCTTTCGATTGAAAATGTAGTCAAAAATCAATAATTGCCTCAAACGGTTAACAGTCAATTCACTGAATAAAACTCATCAACTTATATGTCATTCATAAGAAAAAGGTTGTCAACGAAATAGAAATACATAATATTCTGTATAATACCTGAATTATATTGCCGTCACATTCAGCCGCCTTGTGCTGACACGTGAAGGTAAGCTTTGGCTGAACCGTTGAATTGCTAACAAATGTGAGCTTTGCGTTCCCAAAGGGCACTAAATTAATGGTTAGTATCTGTGGTTCGGCTGCTTTTAGTTTGTCGTAAACGGGTTTCAACTGATTGTTTATAAAGTTTCTGCTGTCCGGACACAACGACTCGATGTAAGCGCTCAGCTCTACCGTCTGAGCTCCGGCCGCCTCTAAACACAATCACAAATAGAAACATAAATTTAAAAATTTTACATTTAATTTAAATGTCATTTATATTACCATTTAAGTCGATCAGTGCAAGCGTCGCCAAAATTATCACAATTGACTTCATTATTAAATTTATTATGAATTTAACCTAATAATAAAATTGTAAACTTTTTCAATTAGTTTTTATACCAAGCTACCAATGATATACTGTATCTAACAGTTGTTTTTGTTCTCATAAATAAATAAATTCTTGTATAATATAATATTATATATGAAATATATATTTCATATAATGTTATCTCAATGGAGACCTGATATGAGAGGTAATAAAGTTTATGCCAATAATCACTGATTTTATTATCACTTGAAAAAAATTAGAAAAACTATTTTAAACACAGATAAGAGGTTTAGACAAAAAATGTCGTCGACGGCCAAACCCATCGCATGTAAGGCCGCAGTATTTCGTGAGCCAAACAAACCTTTAACTATAGAGGAGGTGGTAGTGGACTGTCCACAAGCCGATGAAGTGCGGGTCAAACTGTTTGCGTCGGGTGTCTGTCGATCGGATGCCTCATCTATTTGGGGTAAACGCGGCGACTGTTTCGTACCCTACGGCAGGCCTATGATCAATGGTCACGAGGGGGCCGGTGTTGTCGAGTCGGTGGGCGCCGATGTGACTGATGTTGAAGTGGGCGATCACGTGGTGCTGCTTTGGTTACCGCAATGTAATCGGTGTATTAAATGTCAAAATCCAACCACTAATACCTGTGTTGTTGCTCTCAGTAGAGGTATTGTATAATAAGTTATATAAAGTTATATAAGTTATATATTATATTTGATTGTATTTTTACTCAATTATATCTA